GTGTGCATGCATTGTCTTATGTAATTTTGAGTGTTCGTGCTTTCTATTTTTTGCGTGATAAAGTGCGTTTGTCTTGTCATCGCGGTCTCTCATTTCTCTTTCAATCCATAAGAAAATTACACGACGCCACCGAGGAAGAATAAGCGAAGCAAATTCATACCAGTTGCAAGCACTTCTGAGAATAATTCTGACAGGTGGGGGCCATATTCAAATGCATCTGCACGATGGAAAGGGTAAATTCAAGGGACAATAATGCCAATGGAATGCCAATACAGCATGCAATACAGTATGCTACATGTAAATGTAGCGCGAATGTGAAGAAAAAAAAGTGGAGGAAACGATCACTTGCCACCGGCAGAACCGAATCTGCATCTTTCAAATAATGCGTCCGATGCTCTACCGCTGAGCTATGGTGATGGTCAACAAGCCACAAGTACCACCGTCTTGAAGCTTGCCTTGCAGAAGCCGTTGACTACTGTGTCCGTCTTCAGGTCTTGCTAGGCATTGAAGATCTCCGCAAGAGAAAACTTTGCTGAGATTTTCGGTCACTACTTCTTCATCCACTGCTGGATGTCCTGGCTGCTGGTTGCTTCACTTTCGGTACAATTGGTTTTGCCAACGATGTAGTAGCGCTGCTTAAATCGGTGAAGCCACCTGCTGTTGTCAGCGAACTTGTTTCACCGAGTGCAGCGGCAAAGCATTTGGCCTTGGCGATCAGCATCGGGCCATTCACCAAACTGTTTTTCGCGCGCACTTCTAAAAACCAGGCATAAAGTGCCTTTTCTAAATTCCCGTGGGCAGAAGTGCGCACATGACAGGCTCCAGACGTTCGCTGCTCCACTGCCTTTGCCTTGATAATCTGCTTTGTTCTCGAATAGGGTACTCGGAGTGCTCCGTGGTATCCCGAAGTCGTCCGCAACGGTCTAACATTTCTCGCCCGCCTCAACAATCTGAATAGCCTTCAACTTTGTCACTATGTCATGGGTCTTGTGCTTCTTGACACTGGCCATAGCTACACGAGAAGTAAAAAATTCGAGGAGTCTGCAGCGGCTCTGCACACCAAGCACACGTGCTGCACATGGGTTGGTACGTTGGCCACCCGATCTGCGAAAGCAACAAAAAGGCGCGAGCTGTGGTTGGCTGATCAAAACTCGCAAAACAGCAACAAAAAATTGTTTCTGCTCTCCGAGCCGACAAATACGCGGGGAAAGCATGAGAGAGAGAAAGAGAAACGAAAAAAAAAAAAAAACCGTTCGGCAAGTTGGAAGTTGTGCAGTTCAAGCTCGCCCTCACTTTTTTCGAGCATTTTGCGTTTTGGCGGAGGCATGGTACAGGCAAGTGCTGAAACGCACCTTCCAGCTTGCGCTCGATACATCCGAAGGTGGATAAAAAATACCGTTCGATATAATTGTGCGAATTTCTATATTGTAACAATACTGATTGTTGGCTTAGTTAGTACTTGCTTAATGACAGGCTTTGGCTGCACATAACACGCACACAAAGTAAAGGAATACTCAACAACTAGCACAAGCGGCTTGTGCTTGTCATTGAGTGTTCTTTTACTTTGTGTGTCTGTTCTTTGCGGCCAAAGCATGTCATTAAGAATTTCTATACTTTTATAAAAGAATTTGAAGGAGATAACTTGCGAATACGATATTCCCGACAATTCGATATATGTGTGTTCGATATAACCGAGTTCGACTGTAGTGATCATTTTTGGGCTGCGTTCTAACGAGTTCTGATTTTAAAGAAAAAGTTTGAACCGCAGAAAACAAGGATGGAAGAGAAGAGTAGACACGACGAGCGCTACACAACTCTCTGCTCTTTGGTCCTTGCTTTTTGGGCTTCGAATTCGTTCCTTAATGTCTTATAAAATCTCCCAAGCTTCTGTACTTCTGATTTTCGATCTCTTCTCGCGTGCATGTCGTGAAAGGTAAAACTCGATCGCGCTATTCGAGCTCGTGGAACAGCGCTTGCGAATGCACTTGTATTCTTAATGCGCAATCTGCAGATTTTATCGTGTGGGCTTGGTTTATGAAAAAAAAAGAAAGAGTCTTTGCCAAACACTCCAAAGCGAAGTGATTCGGCGGTCTCGTTTCCACGTTCACATTCCCTTATGCAGGATGGCTTGCGGGACTGAAAAGCATGGCCTCCGAGGTGTGCACCCTCGTGACGAATTTTGGTGCTTTTTGTTTTAGTTTGCATATCTCGGAGGCTACGCTCTTTTTTTTTTGTCTTCCGCACCCAAGCAGTGGCTGCCTGCTACAAAACAACAAAGGCATAAGTGCTATCGCTACCACCAACATGTCGACGGTGGGAGCTTGCTTGTTTATTGTTTGCGGGCAGCATTGTGTCTTGTGGCTTCTCGACTTGTGTACTTCTCACCTCGTTCCAGATAATTTATCATTTTGTAGACGGAACTAAACAGTGATCCTCTTGTAGCGATAAAAATCATGACTGGTGCTAGGAGCAACGTCAAGTAAAACATAATGGTAAACTGTTTGTTTGCGGGCTTCGGTTCCAGGTGATGACATTGAGTGTGTCCTGACTGCTGACAACGGTGTACGATGCTTCAATCAATTTTACAACTTGTTAGCATTTCCGGGCACCACCTCGGACAGCGAGCGGCTTCATTGGCGCAGATGACAATGTCCCTGCTTCCGACTGCATGGATACAGAGTTCGTGGTTGACGTGGCCGGTGCCGCGGAAGTGTGTTGCTTTCACCACAGACCTACCTTTTAATACTCTACCCAGCTTACCACAGACCACAGTGTTCAGCGTCAATCAACGCTGTTGTTTCTGAATGAGTTGAATTCGCTCATTTGGAAAGCTTTAAGATATTGAGGAACTTCACGGCGTGCAGGAGGTGAGACAAGCTTATGGACTGTTTTCAAGTGAAATAAAGCATGTGAACTTGCAGAAGAGGACGTTCACACCTTGTTCTTTATCGTACTGTGAGTGAATCGTTATGTAAACCCATGTTACGATTTTTGAAAACTGTTTCGACGCCTAACATTCTCTAATTTACGAATGAAATACATATTTTGCATTTTCAAATTATGAATAATATATCGAACAATTTCACGTTCCTATTCAAGTTACGTACATCCAGGATTGACTGTATATGTTCATTAAACATGGGAGTGTAGTCAGTGCCATCTGTTGCCATTACCGCGAGCTCTTTACATTTTGATACATTTACTTGTAGTAACATCCCTTATATTTTCCCTGGTGCAGTGGCGGTGTGGTACCCAATAAAGTTTTAACTGAAGCACGGCTATTGTTAGTTGAAAACTTTTCTCAATAATTGTAAATTACCGTATTTACTCGCATAATCCTCGCACTTTTTTTGCTGCAAAACTGATGTAAAGTTGGGGGGTGCGAGAACTACGCGGGGAAAACCTTCCATGAAAACGTACCGAGCGAAAAAGAAAACGAAGTGGCCGCAAAACGGGATTCTCGCACCAGCAACTTACAGCAAGCTTTAAGAAGTAATAATTAGAACTTACCTCAACAATAAAAGCAGAGGTTCAACACAAGGCAAGATTTATTTGAGACACAAAAAGTGGAAGCAAATAGTCGAGAATTAAAATATCATATGCAAAGCTTGTGGGCATTGTGGGCGTAGCGGGAGCGTTCGTCGCTCAACAGGAGCCCTCAAAAGGTAAGCGTAGGACGTCAGTATTGGGCTGATGGCTATTTAACAGAATCGTCCTCAGTTTCCTTCTGAAGAAATAAAGTTTACCATTAATCCCAGTTTTAGGCACACGGCAGGCCCAATGCGTCTTGGTGGCTTTCAGCTGCCGTCACCAGTAGCGAACACAAAAGTCATAGACTCCGAAGGGCCTACCGGCGGCCCTGTTGCCGTCGTTTAGTGCATCATCTATCACTTGTAACTTGAAGCAGCCGTGTAGTTTCGGTATCACCCCATAACGTGCCAAGATTACTGACACAGCTTACAAAAAACGCCGCAATGGGCACTGGTCACTTTGGCTTGGCTTGGATTGGATTGAATCTGCATGCAATAGTATGCTTGATGCTTAAGAGATGGGGCCAGATGGTGTGCACTATCATCATCAGTGGCTGGAACGAGCAGACGACATTATTGTGGCAGTTTTCGGGGGTGCAATAATTACTCGAGAAAAAAAAAATCTTATTTTTCTTGGGTGAAGGGGGTTGGCCCGAGAATTATGCGAGTGTGAGAATTACGCGAGTAAATACGGTAGTTCTCATTGATATTAGTGTGCATTTAATCTTTTGTAAGGGTGGTTTACTGCAGTATAGGAATGCTAAGCCGTGAAGCCTCACTTCAAGGTTAAATTAATATATTATTGATTGATTCAGCATTTTTTTTTAAGTTTAAAAGCTGGTTATACCAGCTTGTATGCTCTACGTATAGTAATTTCTTTAAAACTTAACATATTTTACACGTTATTTTACCAAAAGTCAAATCCGGCTACTATTCACAGTTCCACTTCCTTTGAACCAAAAAAATGGCATTTGCACTGGCCTTGTTTCAATTAAAAGCATGTATATATTGCACAGGTTAGTTAGGTCATGGCAAATATGCCCATTTTTCTTTACAACATCTCTGCCCCGTCGTGGTGGTCTAGTGGCCAAGGTACTTGGCTGCTGACCCGTAGGTTGCGGGTTCGAATCCCAGCTGCGGCGGCTGCATTTCTGATGGAGGCGGAAATGCTGTAGGCCCATGTGCTCAGATTTGGGTGCATGTTAAAAAACACCAGGTGGTCGAAATTTCCGGAGCCCTCCACTACGGCGTCTCTCATAATCATATGGTGGTTTTGGGACGTTAAACCCCACTTATCAATCAATCAATTCTTTACAACATGTTATATACTATTCAAATTTGATTCTAAATTATTTGACCAAAATCATCATTCGTAGAAGCCTATTGAGCAGTACTTACCTGACACATTTCTTTCAGCAGTAGCAGTGTCAGGATTACTGCCAGCTGAGGTGTAAGTGTCATGGTGCACAGGTGTTTGTGGGCCTGATGAACCTGCGCAAGATCTGCAACCACCCTGACCTGTATGACGGGGGACCAAAAGTGTTTGCCGACACCGACGTTTCCACCCTGCCCCCCGAGATGCGCTACGGGTTCCCTGGCCGCTCAGCAAAGATGGCTGTCATTGAATCCTTGCTGCGGCTGTGGAAGAAGCAGAATCACCGCGTGCTGCTGTTCACCCAGAGCCGCCAGGTGAGCAATCATCATCATTAACTTTTTCGTTACCACCAGAAAATGGTTTCTTTTTATGTCTTGCGTTTTCCAGTTTGAAAAGTACTCGAGCATGCATGACAGGGTACCTAATTATGCTCAATCAAATGCTATTTTATAAGTTGTAGAGCGACAAAAATATTTTGGAATGAATAAAAATGTGAAAGTATAATTTTTGAAACTCTATATATGCAAAAATATTCAAAAGAAAAAAATTTGAAATATACATTTCGAAAATAAGTGTCCCAGGAACATAGGTCAGCAAACTCACTCATGAGTCGACTCAGTCAGACTCATATTGAGGCATAAGTCCGAGTGAGTCTGGCTGATTTATTCTTACTCGAGTTTGAATCTGAGTGAGTCCGGAAGAGTTGTACTTTAGTAAGTCTGAGCCCAAGTGAGCTAGAGGAAAATTTTTCTCAGTCTGAGTCCGAGTGAATCCAGTTGACGAAATTATTCGTGAGTCGGTATCTGAGTGAGTTCGGCTAAGTTGTACAGTTGATCCCGAAAATATCAAACTCGGATATATCGAATTATTGGCTATATCGAGCAGTTGTGAATTTTCCTCGAATTTCCCATGCAGAAGCATAGGACTGGTGCCCCATATATTCAACTCCCGCACAGCGGAACATACCATGTATCATAGGCTGTGCTGTGCCAAAGTCTAAGAAGTGCATTTTTCTTATCAAATGTTGATCAATTCGCAGCCGTGTTCTAACAAGTTCCGATTCCATTTAGCGCACAGGTGACAAAAAGGCGTTGTTATTCTATCGGGCTGATCTGCTGGTTTGTAGGGCAGCGCTTGCAAGGGCACCGGTATGTTTCATGCACGGTCTTATGAGCGGGCGTAGTGTTTTTTAAAAAGACCGATTCCCAACTACACCAAAATTATAATGCAAAATCACTCAGCAATCTTGTTGCAATGTTCGCTTTCCCCACCTTGTTTGTTAAAGCACAATGGCATGCGATGGTCTTGCGAGCTTAAAAAGCATGGCTTTCGAGATGCGCTACCTCGTGACATATTTTTAATGTTTTCGGTTTTAATACACATGTCTCAGAAGCTACGCTTTTTCTAGCTTTTCGCATCAAAGCAGCTCAAAGCAGCGGCTGCCAACTACAAAGCCGCAAGTGACATCGATATTGCCTACATGTCCATGGTGGGGACTCGGCGTTGTCTTTTGCACCTTGTGTACTTCTCGCCTTGTTCTTGATAAACCTTTATTCAGGAGTTGAACTAAACATTTGATCCGCACTTAGCGATAAAAATCATCACTGGCGTTAAGAGCGACGTCAAGTAAAGCACTCTCGTAAACTGTCCTTGTGTGCCAGGTGAGGACTTTGGGTGCGCCATGACGCCTGTCAATGGCGTGTAGTGCCTCAGTGAATCCTGCAACTTAGCAGTGTTTCCCTGCACCATCATGGACAGTAAGTGACTTCATCGGTGCAGGTGACGGTGCAGCTGTTGCTGACTGCATCAATGCTTAGCCGAGATCGTGGCTGCCGTTGCCGGGGCCGCGAAAGCGTACCCGTGCGATTATGAATATGTCATCGTCTTCGCTGCCACATCTAACGAACCTTTTGCTATACGACAAAGCTTGCTTAGGCACTCTGCATTATTCAATGCCGTTGTATTCAAAGGAGCTTAATTCTCTTATTTGAAAAGTTTCAATTAAATCGAGGATGATTGGAATTTGACAGCACACAGGAAGCTAGAGAAGTTTATGAACTACAGTTAAATTTGGATATAATGAAATTGATAAATTCACATAAACATTTGTTATAAAGAGGATTTCCTTATATGCAGGTTCGGTACGAAAAATTTGAAAAATAGACGCATAAACTAAACAAAAGGGGGAGTGAAGGCAGAGCTTACCCAAAACACTTATTTTACAGTAAAAAACCACGCTATTATAGCGATAACAATTATATGGACACTTTCAGTGGATTTTTGTCGTCGTTGCCATGTTTAACAAGTCCAAATTGATGACATGCCCCCGCGCATCATAACTTTCACGAGCTGGTAAAAGCGGGTGAGCACTGAAACAAAGATCGAATGAGTCAGTTTATCTCTATGGCCTGGAAAGTGCATAAGATAACATCTCCTGCATGTTAGAACTGCCGTCGAATGCTTTAACAAAAAGTAAACCAAGTAAACCACCTGTCTTTAACGAGCATGAAATAACTCGGGGAGGTGGGAAGGGGGATCATTCGCGTAGCAATAATGAACTTGGATTGGGTGGTTGCGATCGCTGGTGTGCTTCTCGGTGAGTATCAGCGCAGTTTCAACGTGAAGGGACTGTGTAAAAAAATCACTTCCGTCCGAAGCGGGTGTATGTGCTCACGCTATCATTTTGGAGGAGCTTCGCAATATCAGGTCCAAACGAGTTGGCTCCGAGTCTTACGTCTCATAGCATTACAATTTTTTTGCTATCGCATTCACTGCATCGCATTCAACACGCCATCGTGTTCCCAGAACTACATGGCTAATCGTGAAAGCTACCAGCCTACGAACTCGCGGCGCAGCGAAAAACGGAAGCGCGTGACGAGTCGACCTCCAAAGATCCTTCGTCACTGTGGTCTCGGAGAGTTTCCATCAGCGCCTAATCTGACATCTCCTTGGTGGTGAAGACACAGTTGTTCAATATTAAGAAAAGTCACAGTTTCGCTGCAAGGGCGAGGCAATAGATGTGATAAGAAACAACTTGAAATGTAATGCTGACAACAGCAAGCAGATCGAAACATGGAGCGTGCTGCTCACGCACAAGTGTTGCACATCAACATTTACTGCTCGATACCTAATGCACTGTTTAAACGAAAATGAGGCACAAAGCTAAATGACAGGTACAGATATGAGTGCAAACTAACAAGTGCCCCAGTTGTTACTTCGCTGTGTTTGGAAAGCGCACTCTTTTTGCAAACAGCGCCTGTGCAGCGAGCGAAGTGATCTTTGTGCGCCCGGCAACTAAATGCAATTGTTCCGATCAAAGTCACCCCCTTACCCCATTCGCAGGGCAAAGATAAGCGTGTCTCAGTGCATTGTGATTTGTTTTTCTTTCTTGAGTTTTCATATATATAGATACGTATACATATACGGTGAGTAGGAGGGAGCCACGGGAGCGGCCGCGTCAGCAGCACGTGTAAGTGAGCTCTGCACATATCTGCCTATAACTTTAGCAATGTTGGTTCAAGGAGGGTCAGAGTGGTGTCTATTTGTTCGTGAAGATACAAGGAGTTCAACCGCTACAAATACTGCTATTACAAACGAAAATTTTAAATTTTAGGAGCGGAAAACTGTGTGAATCTGTGAAAACAACAACAGTCAGACCACGTGTTTTTTTACGATCGCTTGTAGCTTTGTTAATATTCTACCGCGAAACTTCTTATTTGTAAAGTTGAAAGTCCTTAGGGTAGACCTGACGTTACTGAAGTTTGATCAGGCTAGGTTTAATAGTTCCAGAGTTATTCCGCAATCAAAATTAAGCCTAATCACTAAAAAGATTAAATTGGTAATATCACCTCGGCCCCCCCACAGTGGTCTAGTGGCTAAGGTGCTCGGCTGCTGACCCGCAGGTCGCGGGTTCAAATCCCGGCTGCGGCGGCTGCATTTCCGATGGAGGCGGAAATGTTGTAGGCCCGTGTGCTCAGATTTGGGTGCACGTTAAAGAACCCCAGGTGGTCAAAATTTCCGGAGCCCTCCACTACGGCGTCTCTCATAATCATAAGGTGGTTTTGGGACGTTAAATCCCACATATCAATCAATCAATCGGTAATATCACCTCGCAAACACATTTAAATTTTGTCTGCTTAATATAATAATAATCCGCACCCCATAGGCTACCAGGAGGCCCAATTCTGTACACTCTAGGCCCTTAATTAAGGTGGTAATCAGCAAAGAGCTCATTTCATTAAAACAAATTTTCAAAAGGAGCTACAAACGCCACCGAAAAATAGCTAATATCTTCTTTTAGAACACAACAGTCCGTTTTTTTCCGTGTAAAAATAATTTTGATAGCTTAAGGTAACCGGAAGATACAGCGTTAGAAAGAATATAACGAAAACCGCTAATAAACGTGTGGTGCCCGCGTCTTCCCTCGCTCAGAGGAGGAGGGTGGCTCGGGAGAAAGGTAAGCCCGTCAGATCAAAGTCTAGAACCTCGTGTTTTTTTTAGTTTTTTTTTCCCCTTACGATCGCTTTTAACTTTGCTAATAACCTACCGGGAAACTTCTAACTCATACAGTGCAAAGCCCTAATTGTAGACCTGTCGCCGCTCAGGTTTCATCAGGACAGGAGTAATAGTACCGGAACTATTTTGTGACCAAAATTAATCCTAATCACTAAAAAGATTAATTTGGTAACATCACCTCACAAACGAATTTAAATTTTGTCCTCTCAATATATCAATAAACAGCACCCCATAGGCTAATCGGAGGCCCAACTCCGTACTCTCTAGACCCTTAATTAAGGGGGTAATCAGCAGAAATCTCATTTCATTAAAACATTTTTATAAAAATAACCACAAACTTGACTGATACACCGCTGAAATCTACATTTAGAACATAACAATCCGGGTGCGGCGATGGCGTAGTGGTTAGAGCATCCGCCTCGCATGCAAGAGGTCCGTGGTTCAAATCCCGGTGCCGCGCAGCTCCCAACCGGAAAAAAAAAAAAAAAAAAAATCCGCGTGTTGATGGAACTGCATTAAGAGGCCTGGGGTGCGGCCTCACCGGTAACCACCGCTGGGAGCGCACTCTCTCACCATAGAAGGATTGGCCACCCTGGTGCAGTATCTGGCCACTACCTCCCACATGCATACGTCAAATAACTCACTGCCCTCAGTTCCCAGCAGCTACGAAGCAACTGACCGTGGCGGCGGTCAGATCTGCAACGCAGCAGAGGGTGCTAAGAATCTCTGGATCCGCACAGGCCGCCATTGGAACCTGAACTTGGCAACGTTTAACGCAAGAACCTTATCTAGTGACGGA